AACTTGTCTGTTCCCCTTCCCCGATTCCCCAATGCTGTTCCCCTCCCCCAATTCCCCAATTAAAAAAAAATCTTTAAAAAAAAGAAAAGGAACAGCTGGTTGCATTCAATATTTCAAAAATTTGGGCCAGCTGAGTGGCACGCTGGTTAAGAGTTGGCTTGGGATGCCAGCTCTGAGCAGCAGGGCCCAGGTTCGGATCCCATATGGGCCAGTGACGCTGCGCCCTTTACAGCTAAGATGGTGAACAACAGCTCAACCTGGACCTGGGCTGCCGTGAGTTGCCGGCGACAGCGGGCATGAGCTTTTGTGAGCTGCCATGAGCGGCTGTCCAATGGCCAGAGAGCAACTGCCTCACCCAGGAAGAGAGCAATGATAATACCAACATGGGCCAGTGAAGCGAAGTCCTCCACAACTAGACTGAAGAACAAAAGGACAGCAACTTGTCTGTTCCCCTCCCCCGATTCCCCAATAATACCTTAAAAAAAATTTACTAAGCCCCTTTTCACTTATAAACTAATAGTGTATTAGTTTTTAGTTGGCCCCTAAAGAATTTGTTAGTACTCACAAGGATTTCATGAATGTCTATGTGAGGCGCAGGGAGGGAAACGAGACACAGAAGGAAATGATTCTACCACCTCATCTTTTTTTTTTTTTTTTAACCACCTCATCTTTAATACAGTCACACTTTATCAGGGATGCAGGTTGTACAATATATTTCATCCCATAAAATAAAATAAATTGCACAAAGTAAATGCTATGGGAGTTAAGGTAAAAACAAGCCATCGTGCTCCAGAGTAGTGAGAGACAGTTTTAAGCAGGAGGTATGTGATGTATTTTACAAATAATGTCTCAGCAATGTGTCATTCAGGACCATCAAGAGAAATATATTTACTTTTTAAAACAGGTTTTCATTACTTTAATATAGGAAAACTAGTGAAACATAATATTGGAAACTAAATACACACTAAAGGAGAAAACGGCCGAATCTGAATTATATTCTCTTAAGAGAAGTCACTATAACTATAAAAACTTCACACAAAAAAACTATATCACAAACTTCCCCTGGTGATAATGGTGGGTTAGGTAATTCAGATGAATCCTATAATTAAGATAAACAGAAAAAATGGAACACACACACACACACACACACACACACACACACACACACACACACACA